CATCTGATGATGAAATCTCAGTGAACCCTAGTGGACGTGGGAAATGTAATTCCTGCTTAAGCTTACCTTGATTAGTGGACATTTGCCGTTTGCTATTAGCTGAGCAGCAAAACAAATTTAAGCAATAAAATTTGCAAACTTAATGGTTGCAGCTTTTGTCTAAAAATACAGAAACTAGCCAATGCACAGGCCTAACAGGCCTTCAGCCTGGAAAAAAAAAATGGCACCACGTGGATTTAACTAAACAAGCAGGTATGAGTCTTCCATTGCAAATGGATGACCAAGTTTTTCCATCAATGGATTTTTTTCCCTTCCCTGCAGACACATAATTGGCCACCACAGAGTACAGACCTCAATCCCATTATGAATCTTTGGGGATGTGCAGAGGAATAGGCAGCAGTCTGAGTCTCCAATCATCAACTCAAGATCTTGGTGAAAAATTAATCTAAATCTGGGCAGATTTAAATGGTGAGGCAAAAGCCTATTGAAATGATGTAATGGAAAACCTAAAGCAGGACCATAGCTGTGTAACATTGCTGGCCAGTAGGAAGGTTGTTATTGGTCAGAACTAGCTTGGCTCAGCTACAAGCGCATAGCTTGAAGCCTGGCAAGGCTTGTGATCGTGATCTCCCAAATCCATTGTTCCTTTAAGATATTTCTGTAATATTCTGTTCACAGGGACAGGACAAACTGCCAGCATTAAAGAGGCCTAAATGTAGGGAAGCAACCTAGATTTTGAATTTCTATTCATGGATTGCTCCTTAAAGTTGCTGCAAGCCTTCAGGGCATTTAGAAGAACTATTTAAATTACATTCACATCTATGTTTTTATTCAATATTTACCAAGTAGACCCACAGTATCAACACAGCCTGCAAAACCAACATCATTAAACGATTCCAGCCCAATAAACAGCTCGAAATATCTAATCTCCTTTCTTTGCGGCTCATTTTTGACAGTGAAGTGGCGCACGATAGAGGCTTCGACACAGGGGCTCATTAGCATATTAATGACATAAAATAACAGGGGGCGGTTTTCAAACAATGGTTCTTCGTGTTGAAATGTGCCATTTTTTCCCCCCTATATCTAGCTTGTTGAGCGTATGATCAGACACACACTCAACAATAGTGGCGGTAATGAGAACCTGCAATACCCTCATGAGTTGTCAGCAACTGAAAAGCTCCATTTCTCATTCTTAAGTAGGACACCCACAATTCAGCCATTACATTGTGCTGTCACAGGCAGTTTAAAATCAGGCTTGACAGGAGAAATCTCTCAAAAATCCACCTGTAATAAGTTGAGCCATGTTCTGCAAAGATTGCGTGAAAGAAAAACCAGACCACTGCAGATACGATCATGTCATAACTTCATGCGGAAATGACAAAGTGCTTTTAGCAAACTGTCATTAGACAGTATTTGTTGGGGATTATTTTCAGCCCCGGATTAATACACATTTGGTGATGTGAAGTGAGTATTTAAAGTTAAGCGGGGTTGAGTCAAAGCAAACTACAATGCCCGTGTTCACAGTAATGAAGGAACAGATTACAGCCTCCTCGTTTTTGAACCATGAATGAATGGCGTATGTAAAATATGGAACATCACCGGGACGGTCCTTAGCTCATGACATGCCATGTCAAACATAAGTTACAAACTCATGTTTCAAGCAGGTCATGAACAATTAACAGTTATGGGTAAAGTCCAGGTGTATATGTGAGACCCTACACTTTAAAACTGCACTGCAATTTCCAGGCCGGACATGTACAGGGCTTTCATGACAAGCGCAGTGTGGCAATATCAAGTGTGTTTTCCGTGTGGTAAAATCTCTCTGTGTGATCAAACCAACACAGACTTCCTCCTTTCTCTCTAAATCTAACTTCCTGTTTGTCAAGATAGTTACGACAAGAGGAAAGCACCATCCATTACTCTCGCTCTTGTTTAGTGTAAAGAGAAATTCATGCATCTTCGCCAGAGTGAATTATTTTTCCAGCTGCAGTAAATCATTGTGCAGCCCAGTAGGTTGCTTTGTCAGTGAGTGCTTTTATAAAATTGTAATTTATATAAATAAAGAGAGAGGAAGGAAGACAGAAAGTTTTACAGTCAGTTGATGACAGTTTAATTTTAAATTAGTCCACAAGATTTCGTAAGGAAACGCAAATTTCTGTAGAACTTATCAATTTGCATTTTCTTCTCCACACGTCAAACCACAGCAGTGCATTTGAAGTGAGGAAATTTAACATTTGAATATTACTTGAAAAATAATTGTGAACTATTTTGGAACCTGGCTGCAGGAATTTGATCGCACTCGGTTGCAATCAAGTAGTGCTGGGGACAGTTTTGGCTCATGCCATGTATGAAAGTTGCCTAAGGTGTCACCACCTGGTGGGGTGCCAAAGAGGGCGAAGAAATAGTTTGTCACTGCTCCTGATCTATCCTTAAAAGTCCGCCGGTGACTTCCATTTGACTGCATATATTGCTAAAAACACTGCTCACACTGCAGTAAACAGTTGGTGCTGAAAAATGACTATACATACAAACACTTTGCAGAGGCATGACTTTTACATAACCTGACGTTTCCAACCCCACCACTCATCTGCTTACACTGCAGAGTGAGAATCATATAGCTTACTGTTCTTCCCTGCAAACATTACATGATCTTCACTGTGAAACATTGTCTTCCCCGAATATGGTAAATGTTTATCATTAGGTGAAACAAAAGAGGGACAATGACATAAAGATTAAAAAAAGGATTGTGTCAGGAAGGAGCAATTCAGACATTTTGTTAAAACGAACAGCTATAAATATATATGTTTGCTCTAGTAGACACACTTTACATGCCCAAACTGCAGGAGGCACACACACAGAGGTTATTAAAGAGGAAGCCAATAATGAATACTAGTTTATGGGAGTCTTTTCTCTGAGATCACTAAATGCCTGCAACAATATGGTTACCTTGAGTAGCAGGGTCCACATGAGTGTCCCCAAGTTCAAATGAGCATCAGGATCGTGGAGACAAGTGATTTAAGTGACTTTGAATATCACATGGTTCTCTGTGCCAAACAGGCTGGTCTGAGAATTTCAGAAACGGCTGATCTGGTGAGATTTTCCCACACAACCATCTCAAGGGTTTGCAGAGAGTGATGCTTTGAGCTGAAGGAAGGCAACAGCAAACAAGGTATGCAGAAGAGCATCTCTGAATACACTACACGTTAAACCTTGAAGCAGATGGGCTACACCAACACAACTGCCACACCTGTGAGTTAAGAACAGGAAACAGACGCTACAATTCACACAGGCTCACCAATTGGTCAATAGAAGAGTGGAAAACACTGCTGCAACACTCGGTGTAAACTACATTAAAACTCTGATCGACCGTGCTTTGTATCCATGCTTCAGGTGGTGGTGGTGTAATGGTGTGGGGGATATTTTCTTGCCATGCTTCTAGCCTGTTCACCAGCAGCTGCGTGACACTGTCATGTCAATATGGACCAAAATATCTCAGAGGAACGTTTCCAGCACCTTTTTGAATCTACATCATGATGAATGATGCCAGGTCAGAAGACAAAACAGGGTTCAGCCTTGTAGTAGCATGGTGCACCTAACAAAATTGAATGCATATTTTATTTTTAGCAAAACCTTAATTTCAAAGATCGTATTTAAAATAACCATAACTGTAGCCTTACGGTCTGCATAAATGCTTCCCCATCACAATACAGCATGTAGGACACAACCTCTCTCGTCATTAAAGTAACTGCTGCCACAAAGTTAACAACACACCACGGTCTAAAATATCAATAAATGCTACAACATAAAGGCCTCTGATCAAAGCTATATGAAGAATGTTTTTAGTCTAGCAGCCAATCAAGAGCAGTTAAAATCAAATGAATGCCTGTGAGTCTCTTACACCGTCATCAGGAACGTTTGTTAGAGTTGCACTGCCCATTATCGTATATGCTTTCAGCCTGCACCTGCTTGGTAAACAAAACAGGGAGATGAAACTGAAAGAGCTATAAGGCACATTAGTATGACACCAGCTATAAAATGGTCAAAGTGGGAAGTTAAGGCTAACAACGACAACTTTACTTCCCAAAACTTGCCAGAATGCACTGACATTATACCTGAATAGACAAACTGCTTCTCATAGGTACTGTAACATAAATACATAGTAAACCACACTGGCTTTGTCTATAACCTTCCTCTTATTATTCCCATAGAGCATGCATATTCCATTGTTTTCATATTTCTTTATTTCTCACTGATCGTACTCTTTCCCCAGGACGCAGAAAGTACAACAACACAATAAACGTGCAGACGACTGTTCTTTTGAACAGTACAGGATACATCCATAAGTGTTAACAGGACTAACACATCACGCATGCTGACCCCCGTCAGAGGGGTCAACTGCTGACTCAGAGACAGCTTGTCAGACGGCCTGGAGCTGAATTTATTTTAAGTTTAAACTAAAGGTAAACTGCAGCTGAACCATGAAAGTTCACGGCCTGCAGCGAGCAAACGTAAACATAGAAACACAGCAGACCCGTCCAATTGCATCCAATTCTTCGGCCTCACAGAGCTGGGAAAACCTGTTTTTAGCTCATATTGTAGTAAAAAACAACAGCTTATTGAGATGGTTCAGCTGCCCCTGTTTGCTTCCACCCCCAAAGCAATTTGTCTAATTAAGCCTATGAAAAGTTATTAACCCCTGTCATGCAGAAAAACACATCACAGATGTTTGTGTCCTAAACACAGAGTGTGTGCATGTATAAAATGTACACAAGTGAAATTCCACGTATGCTTTCAAACAGGGAAATGTGCTTTTACGCTAATGAGATAGATGTTTGGTACTGAGTAATAGAAGTCGAGATGAAGGAGACAATTAAGGAGAAGAAAAGTGAGGCAGGGAGCGGCGCTCAAGGCCATGGATCAATTTGAACGCAACTAACTCACAGATATACACACACACACACACACACACACAAGGTCAAAGAAGGGAGGGGGTGTCTTACCTTGAGATTTTAGAGGCATTCAATCTTCTCTCGGATCACAATCTGCTCGGACACACACAGCACAGCCATGGATCACGATGCTGACGTACCTGGGAAAACAGTGGAAAAGGACTGTCAGGTTCAAATGTGTCCATCAGTCCCTCATCGGTCTCTTTCCTGGAAGACTGTACACACTTTTAATAAGTCAACCTCCAGCTCATAAGGAACTGGTTCAGATGTGGACACTGGACACAGACCGCACCCCCCACAAAGAAAAGCAGTGTCATTACAGACCTGCTATGATCCATTCCTGACATAAAGCTGTCCTAAAGTTACACAATGATCAAAGCACGAGAGATCTACTGCTGTGTGTGGATCTGATGCTGTGGCCTGATCTAAAAGCAGAGCCCAGAGTGAGAGAAGCTACCCATGCAGACCTGTGCAGCTCACAGCAGGCTTCATGGATAACGAGCCTCAGCTGATGCATCTGTCACCTGCCAGCAGACACAGCCACTTCCTATAAACCCGTCTCATCTACTAGCTGCGACTTACAACATGGTCCAACCACTGAGACATCGCCACAGTTCTCAGTGTGCTCTGATAAAACTGAAGCATCCTGAGAGCTGTAGAAAGTGTGGCTGCTCTATAAAGAAATCAACATTTTTTTTCCTCCTTTAACATACCAGGAATATTTATAAGGTACGGCACCTACAGCTCCATCCGTCCCTTTGTCCTCCGCACGTCTCGGCTTCAGCTCTGCGCTGGTTTATGTCTGACTGTAACGCATCCATGGGCCGAACAGGTGATACCGAGAGCGAAGTGACAAGAAGACAAACCCCAAACGCACCTTTAATCACACCGTGGGCATCGCATCATCATCCCCAGGCCACTGGCTCGCCCTGCATCCAGGCTTTGAAGCTGCGTAACGCGATGCGAGTCCCTGCGTGGAGCGCTTTTATCTGCAGCCCGGAGCCTGCGGAGGGACGGGGCACGGCGGGGATGGCTGCCGAAGGCTGGCTGGCCTGAGAACCCAGCCGGAGTCCGAGCACACAGACAGCGCCACAGCGATCAAACCTGGCTCCCTGTGCACGAGTGCACCAGCTCCGGGCTTGTACTGATTTTAGTGAATGGCCGATACTTTGCGCCACACCCCCCTCCTTCCTCACCAATTACATGATATTTACACCCAAATCAGGACCCGATCGTCGGCACACTGGTGATTCATATTTTATAGTGATGCAGCAGGAGAGTGCGAGTTGCGTCACGGCGTTGCAGTATGCCCACAAGACGCGGATTTCCCTCCGCAAACAGCATCAAGTCTCTCTGATAAAGAGCTGCCTACAGCTGAGAACCTGATCAGATGATTAAAACACAAGGGCTCCAAAACGGTTAAAAAACCCAGCTTTATCCCCTCATAGACGCCATGTTTTGTTTTGTTTTTTGTTTGTTTGTTACATTAACCAGCAAGTTAAAAACCAAACAAAGAAACAAACAAAAACAAACAAACAGAGAGCTCAGCCTACCCCTGGATCAAGTCCACTACGTGTACAGCATTTCTGGCACTGAGGAGATCCGTCTAAATTTGGGTTCCTTTAATCTGATTATATTAGCTTGAATAGGCTGCCACCTACTGGATTGATGTGATTATATCAAGAGAAACCGTCCACGTGCGTCCTTTTTTGGATTTTTGCCCAGCCGGTTCATCTTTCATCTGATATAACCCGCACACTAAAATCGACTGATCTTCCGGTTACACTGCAGTAACTTTGTTGCATATATCTGTGGTTGGATCAGAAGTGAGTCCCAGCAGCAACCTTCCTTCTGTCGGTGGAGGGGGCCATCTAGTGGACATCAATGCTAACGCTGGGCCGCAGAAAAGCATTGATTGCGTTCAAAATTCCATAAATCAACTCAAATCCCAAATAAACGATGCAGTGTTGTAAAGCCAGTCTCTCTTATCACAGTTTGCTGATTAAAGTGGAGGCCCTGGGGGAGGACCTGGACGACATCTTAAGGTAGTTTAGATAAAAAATTTTTTAAAGCACTTTGTAAGTGTAAGAAAATTTAAAAGAATGCCCCGTTTGAGCTTCTTAGTTCATGACTTGTGGTTATGGTGGCGTTGTTTCTTGTTGCTGTAAATGTGTTCCAGTCCTTCATTAGAGAAGCAGCTTTCCAGAAGACACCACATACAGTACTGTGCAGAAGTCTTGAGCCACATCCGCTTTCTTTACAGACTTTTTTGTGGTTTTGAAAGTGGTTCTGAGCAAAGGTTCTCCAAACGATCTGAAAGTGAAAGGTTTCCCCCCCCCTCTTTGGACATTAGCTTTTCTTTTTTTTTTTTTTTTTTAAAGAAAAAAAAAGAAAAAAATCATTTTCAGTCCGGTACTTATACCTGACCATTTTGTTAAGCCAACTACCACCTATGAAGCATTCAAGGATAAAAAGTCACCTAAATTGAGACAAACTAGTGTTTAAATATACATAACAGACTTAGCAATGAAGCAACTTTAAACTGTATCTTTATAAATAAAAGATAAAAGAAAAGGCAGAGCTAAAAATAATAAACTTAAAGACTGTCTACAGCAGATGAACAGCATCTGAAAGTCAGCAAAGACCTTCAGATATTTAGATACTCAGATACCTGAGACATGTATCTGGGCCTTCAGCTGATCCATCTACTGTTCACTGAAGCCTTGTCAGAAAAGGTCTGAGTGGACAGATCAAGAAGCCATTCTTAAGGAAGGGAAACAGGGTGAAAAGGCTGAAGGATGTCAAATTAGACAAGAACTAGACTGAAAATCAGTGGAAACAGGTCTTATGGACTGATTAATCCAAATTTGAAATTTCTCACCACAGTAAGAGTCAACCGGTATCTGTAAAACACAGTGGAACTGCAATTCAGCCATTGGTGTTGAAGATTTTGTCAAAATTGATGGAATATCGAATGCAGAAATGTACCACCAGACTTTGATCCACCATGCAATACCACCTGGAAAGCATTTGATTGCCAGCTGCTGTTTTTGTTTTCAGCACAACAACAATCCTAAACAACAAATCGAATGTTGAAACTGAAATTTTACCTATTAATGCATGTGTATAATAAGCAGTAAAGTGTAAGAAAACATTTAATTTGAATTGGTGTGGAATAACAAAGGATGGAAAAATTGTACAAAGCTCATGGTGAATAATCAACATGTTGTTAAAACAACTGGCCAATAAAGGAGCATCCAAGAGAGTAAATAACGCTCAGGAGGGATTCACTAAATCTAAAAATTGTTTAAGAATATAAGAATTGTGTATCAGTATACACAGATGTGGAGTAACATGCTGGCTTTTCTCTGAAAGCTTTTTTCACCTCAAAACATATTCTGTGCCTCCAACAGCAGCAAGGCTCCACAGTGAAGGAGTACTGTTACAGGTCACCCACTGAAAACCTGGGTGCATTATGGGGGAAAAAGCCACAACATATCAGAAATGAAAGGTGAAACATTTTGCTTTTAAAACTACAGCAGTTGTCTCCTCATTTCCCAAACACTTACAGAGTTTTTCTTATTACTATTATTATTTATTTTTCTCTGTTTTTAAGAAGAGATGATGCAACACGGTGGTAAACATGCCACTGTCCTATCTTTTTTGTTGAAAGATGCTTTCGGCATGAAAATAAAAACTAAGCGTGTATTTTTTTCTAAAAATATGCGAATCTGCTCCATCATTTGATATATTGTGGTTGTCCTACCTTGAACTGAATATATGTAAAGCGCTTTGGGGTCCTATGGACTAGAAAAGCGCTATACAAATGCAGGCCATTTACCATTTACCAATATAAGGTTTAAATGATGCACTTGGGGATTAGCCTGTTCACCTTCAGGCTAGAGTGAGAGCAATGTCAAACTGAGCCATTTATGTTTCTGATGAGATACTAATATCTATCTGAATGCTCATGGTGTTAATCCTCCTCTGATGGGTTAGACTGTAAGCAGGATGGTCTTCTGATTCGCTCCAGTGTCCCTGCTGTTAACAAAGACTTCAGTCTATCTATCCATCAAGGTAACATATTAAAGCTGAATGCATATAAAAGAGAAGAAACAAAGGTTCTAACAAAGAGTAACCCGTGTTTTATATGTGTATATATTTTGCTATATTTTAAATTGAAAAGACACATGCAAGAGTGCATAAGGACCAAGGTTACAAAGCAGCAGCTGACACATGGTGCATGAGGTGGATGTCTTGCAGACTGCCTCCCATCTGTCTCGACAAAGTTGTCAAATCTTCTTAAAAACATTTTACTTGTTGTCTGTGAAGGTTCGCAGTCATTTTACTTGTTGATAAGTATATATCTAAGTCTTACTGGGTAAACAATATTTGTCAGCTCTTTAAGCTCTGTGTGGAACTTTGGGCTTATTTTTGACCTCCAATTCGGCCTGTGACTAAGGGTGTAATTACCTGTTATAAAGGGCAATTTTAATTTGATTTATTTGAAACCACAATGTAATTATAGTTACATACATTTACCTACTAAAAGGTAGGTGCACTACAAAAAGGGGGTATCAAGTCCAGTTTCAACAGGAAACAGAGAAATAATTATGCTGTAAGTAAATTTAAGTAGTGAGTAAATAATTGTGATTTGTTGTCTGGCTCTTTGTGTTAGTCCTGCAACATGATGGTGACCTGTCCAGGGTGTACCCTGCCTCTCGTAGCTGGGATAGGCCCCTAATTTAAATAACTTTAAAAACTTGGTGTCTCCTTTAGTGTAAAAAAATTAACTTGTTGACCCTATTTGTAGGTAATTATATTGTAATTTCAAACAAAATATGATGAAATTGCATTTAATTACAGGGGAATTAGACCCTTAGTCGCAGCCTATTTGGAATGTTTAACAAAAGAGGATCTTCCAGAAGAAAGTAGCAGCAGGTCTGGATTTGGTATAATAGCTTCTATTATCTAGTGTTTATTAAAGACAAAGGGTATAGAAGTTTGTGTCATAGTTTTTCTCAGTTTGTAGTTAGATACAGTTTGATGATTATGATGGAAAGTTACAAAGGCCTTAATTCCCATCTGATGCTCAAGAATCTTATCTAATATTTCATGTCTGAACCATCATTTTAACCCCAAAACTGTGATGGAAAATTGTGAAAAGGCTGAAATCCAGGACGACATTCCTTTCTTCACCTCCCACAGGGAGGATGTCATGGTTCAAAACACCTTCTCTGTTTGAGTCCACCCACAACAGCACGAATGGAGGGAATTAAACACCAAACATCAAACTGGGCAGCATCAAACCGTTTCACCCGCACCACATTTTGTCATTATAGCCTTTTTCCAAAATGGGGTTAAATTCACACAATACTCCATAATGGCAAAGTGCTTGAAATTCTTGCAAATTTGTTAAAAATGAAAAACAAAATGTAAGGTCCCATAGCTGACAGCGCATGTCAGAGCACCAACCAAGTCATGAAGTCCAAGGAATTGTCAAGGCACGGATCTGAGGAAAGGTACTGAAAAATTTCTCCAACATTGAAGGTCCAAATGAGAACAGTGGCCGTAAATTTGGAGCTACCAGGACTCTTCCCAGAGCTGACTACCTGCCCAATCTGACTAATCGGGGTAGAAAGGCCTTAACTGGGGAGGTGACCAAGAACCTGATGGTCATTCTGACAGAGCTTCAGCCTTGCTCTGTGGAGAGAGGAGAACTTTCCAGAAGGGCAAGTCACTCCTCATTAAGAGGCAGATGACAACTAGCCTGGAGTTTGCCACCTGAATGACTCTCAGATCACAAGAAACAACATTTTCTAGACTGATGAAGCAAATATTGAACTCTTCGGCTGGAATGCCAAGCGTCATGTCTGGAGGAAACCAGGCACCGGTCATCACCTGGCCAATTACATCCCATGTGAAGCATGGTGGTGGCAGCATCGTGCTGTGTGAATGTTTTTCAGCAGCAGGAACTGGGAGACCAGTCAGAGTCGAGGGAAAGATGAATGCAGCAATGTATATAACAATGCATTATTAATAATAACCTGCTCCAGAGTGCTCTGGACCTCGAACTGGGGTGAAGGTTCATCTTCCAACAGGACAACAATCCTAAGCACACAGTCAAGATAACAAAGGAGTGGCTCCGTGAATGTCTTTGAGTGGCCCAGCCAGAGCCAGTACTTGAAACTGACTGAACCCCATCCAACCTGATGGAGCTTGAGAAGTTCCCCAAAGAATAAATTGAGAAACTGCCCAAAAATACATGGACCAAACTGGGAGCATCACACTCAAAAAGAGCTGAGGCTGTAATATCTGCCAAAGGTGCTTCAGCAAAGTACTGATTAAAGGCTGTCAATATTCATGTTATATATAAATATAATTTTTTTTTTTACAAAACTTGCAAGAATTTCAAGCTAACATTTGTCACTTTGTCGGGTATGATGTGTAGAATTTTGAA